CGAACATCTCGCGGAAACGTACTTCTCCGGCGTAGACTACGACCTCGGTGAACGTGAATTAGACCATGCGTCACAAGTGGATAGCGATTTGGATATGTTCGCTGCTGCTATTGGGCTTACCAAGACGGCTATTCAGACTATCCAGAAGGATGATGGTACGATAGATTGTTTCTTATTTCAATTATTGAGTGGATACTAATGCGTTATGATATCATATAGAAGTCGTCGTAGAATGGGGTGATTCCGATACAGAGGTTATTGAACCTTTACAACGGCTCCTTGATCAATGTCGGGGAGCCAAACAACTTTCCAAGTTCGTGATGTTCCTGTTTTTTTTTTTTCTTCAAGTATGGTCTATTTACGTTTCTTTTTTAATTAGGAAAGTCGTTAAGCGCATTGAAGATCTGCTCAATGAATCCTCAGCCCTGAAGCCTAATTTGGTGCCACAACTGAACTCCCTAACAATTATTATCTCCAAGGGCGTCGATTTTGCAATCCAGGTATGATTTTCCTCATCAAGTAATGTATTTGATTTTAGCCTGATAATCTTCCAAGTTGGCACAATCAGTAAATGGCTACCTGGCGGATGTCCGTGCCGCAAAGCACCCCTACCAGCTGGGTGGGGTGATGACCCTCGTCCGGGAAATCGCTACAGCAACTATGAGCCGCAAAGATGTGTCCCTGCCATCTTTCAATGATGTTTCGGATTGCCTTTTGCAGCTTGTACAGGACATAAGCGCGTTGTTGCCCGTGGCTATGGAGTCGGAGAGCACGACCAAGAGTGAGTGGTGACTTCCATTGGCATGGTGATTTGTATGTCTGATTTGATGTTTTAGTTACTGGTATTCCGCCATGGGTACATCGCGTGGAGGAAGTCAAAGCTGTTCTTGCTGTGAATGTGGAAGCTGAGCGTAAAGTGGCGCAGCTGAATGAAGAAATGCAAGATTTGGTCCGCGGGCTCAAAACTAGGGTGTGTTATTTGTCCTGTTTGTATTTCCACAATGGTGTGATTGACAGGATGTGGTGTGCAGGATCAAACGCTTCAGGAGTCGGCTGTAAGGATTGAGCTTATGGAACGCCGGATGGAGGCCGTTAAGAAACAGGCGGACACCATTACGGATTTGGAAGCTGAGCTGTCTAAAGCGCGCAAGCAAGAGCGATCGTATGAGGAAGCCATCGAGCAACTGCAGGCAGATTTGGATATATTAGAACAAGATAATGCTCGGCTCAAGGTTGCCGCTCCCGGGCCAGAACGCCAGAGTAAGTTATTCATACCTAAAGAGGAAATGTGGAATCACTGAGATTTTCCAATAGCTTCTGTGGCACCGCAAGGGGACGCAGAACCCGTCGCAGTTGAGGGAACGTTGGAAACATCACATCTGCTCGAACAGGTAAGTCGGTATTCATTATGGCACTTTTGCACAAGCTTCACACAAACATAGATCGAAGCCTTGCGTGGGGCTGTGCGCTTCCTACGGAACGAGAACTCGTACTTGAAAGGATACGATCTGCTGAAAGAACTGCAGTCTTTGCCGCCATTACCCAGTATGACACGACCTCCCACCCCACCGCTGGATCGCTCAGATACTCCATCAACTGATGCTGATTCCGAATCTGATGCTGAAGAAGAAGGAAGGCCGCGTTCCCTGCGCACGTTGGCCACGGAGACAAAACTACTGTACCGTGATGTTATCCAGTTTTCGTCGACCAGGAAAGTGATAGACCTGTCTGCGTTGAACAAACAGCGCATGGAGAAGAATAGCCATGCCTGGATGCCGAAGAAACAGACGCCGGCACACCAGGTGTGGGAGCGCAAGCAGGAGGGTGAACGGCTGGGACGACGAGTGAAGGGGCTTCTGGAACGAGCGCAGGGGATTGGTGTTGTGCGGGTATTGTAAGTACAATGGGCCAGGGGCAGTGTTTCGTTTTGCGTTTCGTTTTTATACGCGGAGGATTGTTATTGTATTTTGAGTTTGAGCATAATGGGAGATCTGCTTTATCTGATTGATGGTGGACAAGAGAGCCGCGATAATAGGCCGGCTAACGAGTAAGCGCCGACAGCTGATCAGCCGCGTCCAAGGGACACTGTGTACTCCGCTGCCAATCAAGTAAACAATGGGAATTCGAAGTGAGTGTGCCCCTCACCTCGGTCTCCTCCTGCCACTCCTCCTCTAGACACATCTTTCTTTTTACCTCATACCAGTTCGCCGCCATGATGTCCAGGATGGCAGAGAAAATCCAGAAGATCCACACCTTCGGGCATAATCGCGGATCGCAATCTCAGCAGTCTCAGTCAAATCCGTCTTCTCCATCGCTCGCCAATTCGGTTACAACTGCTCGCACATCTGTTAGTGAGGAGCTCACCATGTCGCCGAAGTCCGCCAGCCTTCCGCCAATACCTACAGCGCAGAATCAAGGACCAGATGTGCTTCAAACTGCTGGAGCATCATACAAGCTCATCGACTTTATGATCCAACGGACGCTGGGTACGGGGAGTTTTGGTCGGGTACATCTAGGTGAGTGAAATCTATTGTGCTTCTTTACAATGCATCTGACTCGTATTCTCAGTACGGCACAAACAGACACAGCGGTATTATGCGATGAAAGTCCTTTCGAAAGAAAAGGTTGTTCGCACGAAACAGATCGAACATACACAGAATGAACGTAGACTGTTGAGCGACGTTCATAATCCATTCATTGTCAACGTCTGGGGAGCCTTCCAAGATTCTCAGAATCTGTACATGGTGTTAGACTTCGTCGCTGGAGGTGAGCTGTTCGCCTTATTACGGAGAGCAAAGGTATGTCCATATTAGCTTTTCATGTGTCTTTTATGCTTAAGCCTATTTCGGCCATAGCGCTTCCCAGACCCGGTCGCGAAGTTCTATGCTGCTGAGGTAGCGCTGGCGCTGCATTATCTGCATTCGAAAGACATTATCTACCGCGACCTAAAACCAGAGAATGTTCTGTTGGGTGCCGATGGACACGTCAAGTTGACAGACTTTGGATTCGCGAAAATAGTCAAGGACGTGACGTGGACGTTGTGTGGAACTCCCGATTACTTAGCACCTGAGGTGAGGGATCACGGAATGATTTCCTTAATGCCATCACTCATCCCTTAACCAGGTTGTTGCGCAAAATTGTTACAACAAATCTGTAGATTGGTACGCGCTGGGTATTCTCATATTCGAAATGCTTGCTGGATACCCGCCATTCCATGCTGAAGACCCCAATCCTATCGAACTATACCGACGCATTCAGCTCGGTATTGTCAATTATCCCAGCGGGTTTAGCCCGAAGGCGATCGATATCATCAAATGCTTCCTTCATCAGGATCTTTCCGAACGATACGGTAATTTGAACCATGGCACCGAAGATATCTTCGCACATCCATGGTTCGAGGAAGTTGTTTGGGACACATTATACCGTAAAGAGGTCCCTGCGCCTTTCATGCCTTCAATAAATGGCGAGGGCGATTCCAGCGCGTAAGTGTCAATATGACACCCTCCCTTCTCTTGCTGTACTTATCTCCCCCTTGTTATAGTTTTGACTGGTACCAAGAAACCGATGTACGCCAGTACGGCGTACATGGTTCTGATCCACATGGATATTTATTCCCTGATTTTGACTATACTTTCTGAAAAGAAAAACGCATCCCTCATCATTTATTGTACATCATCTACAATTCCCAGCATCAGGACGGTTTGTACTAGTTTTCGCTGTGACATGTAACTTATATCTCGGTTGTTGATATCAAAATATGGGAATATACCCGCGCTCACTCACCATGAACTTTCGATATTGAGGGAACGTTCAGAACGGGGAGCTGCGAATATTCTCATGCTGTCCTTTGTCACTATTAATACATTAACAAGCTAGGCAGGCAGTGTTGGATCTCAGGTACTTGGAATCTAACTATAGTCTTTACAGAACTCTTGCCGCCTCTTGCCGCGGACACTTCGTCGAAAAAACATTAACCTTCGACTCGACACGTGTTTAAGACGTGTGTATCCAAGTATGCGTCCCAAATGAATGAAGGCATCCCTTTATGTCTCAATAGGCAAAGGAGCAGCTGACCTGCAGAGTCTTCGAATTGGAATGCCCAATTCAAAATAGCTAACGGTAATGGCGACACAGCTTATATAACAAAATTACGTATAGGATTGTTGATTAGACAAAGAATGATACTAGGAATGCTATAAAAGCCTATAATGAAATGTTATGTTGACTTACTACACTCACATTCATCGCTTGAGCGGGTGAATTGGAGGGACCTTAATTCACGCTGAATGCATCCTACTCACTCAGACTCAGCCCCGCAATATCAAGACACCCATGGATAATTGCATTCTCCTATCTTTTAATTTTACAAATGGAAGTGATCCGTTCGGGTATTTCGAGGCTAGCAAGCGTAGTCTCCGGATGCTATTCCCACCTATCCCCGCCCGATATAGGACTCAATCGAATTACCATATAAGGCGAGATGTGAGACTAGGATTATTTATCTCATCTCTTCGGAGGCGTGGATTCAAATCCCACTCTCGTCATCGTTTTGCTTTTACTTTGCCTTTTACTTTCGTTGCCGCCAAGACAGGCGTGGTCTTGACTCTGTAATGTAATTGTAAATTGATCCAGTAAACCTTAGTACACCCGCTCCATAATTAATTAATCAAGGGAATATCCAGTCGGACCAGGCCGCGGCTCGTCAGGCACCTCGAGTCCTACCCACCCAATGCAGGGCGGTGATACAATTGACGACACCAACAGAAACAAAAAATACTCGATAGGATATACACTGAGTCACTGACTCTAAATTATACACATCCCTGCATGCATGCATCTATCACGTTCTGATGCCGATTCCATCGATTGGAAGTCAGTGGCGTTCGGGCGAAGGGTTGATCCGGTCCACCTTTCTCGAAGAAGGCAGGCCTGAAGAAAGACGAAAAAAAATGGGGTTTCTTGTAAACTTCTTATTTTCTCTCTTTCGCTGCAAAAGATATTGACGAGAGTGGGATTTGAACCCACGCCTCCGAAGAGATGAGATAAACAACCTTAGTCTCACGCCTTAGACCAACTCGGCCATCTCGCCTTATATGGTAATATTAAGCATACCTCTTTCAGCCACCACCTCCAGAGTACAATATAATATGTACACTCACGCCTAACCAGGGTGCTAAAAGTATTTCACTGCTAAGTATATTTTGAGGGAACTCGTCTGTACATTGGGTAGCTAGTTAACAAAAAAAAAACCGAAAAATAAGGAAAGTAGGGACAAAATATACGAGATGGACAACATAAAGTGTGGTGTGGGTCTAGATATGGTAGATGCCACGTGTATATACGTACGCACGCACGAAAAAAAAAAGATTCACAATTGAATATCCGTAAGAATAACAAGCAAGCAGGGTGGGTGGTAATAAGGGAGGAGAATAATGAATGACGCAGATAACAGAGAGAGATGAGAGAGAATACAAACAATTATGGTGCTGCTGGGAGACCGATAGGTTCTGTTCCGGGAATACCGCCAAGCGGGACTGTCCGGAAAGCTGCTGAATTCCAATCGGCAGTGTTTGCGAAGACATCATTGCCCCACCAGTTCAGCGAGATTCCGCCTTTGGGGAACTAGAAAGAAAATGGACAATAAATATATGCTCCAGTGAACTGAACGCTGCAAAGCTTTTTACAACATACCTGTAGAGTGAAGAAAATAACCAGAAGTGCTATCGTTGTGCCACTATCCATCGCCGCGCTAGCAACCTATTCACAATTATTATCAGCAATCATTCCCGAAAATAGTATATGCATCTACTCACATAGTTGAATTTAGACCACCACGCAAAGTTGCGCCTACGGACTTGATACTGGAAAATCCACGCAACAAAGAACCAAGACGAATAGTTAATACCAGTCGCCGGAGGAATATACTGACACCCATTCAACATAATCGGGATGTTGATATACTTTAAGCGCGTTTTGGGATATCGGCGTTGCCACAAGTAGAAAGGAATGGGGAGGAGGGCACCAGCGATAAGAGCATAAAGCTGAGGATGATAAGGTGACTTGTCCCCGAATTGACGCGCCGGGCCAATCAGACCCCAAATGGCGGAGGCGGTATAGAACACGTCGTTATGCGGGCAGATGAATCTGCTCTTCTGGTTTTGTTCACAAATACCCTCGATGTTGGCGAACATCCATTCCTTTACACCGACTTGGACGAATGCGCAAATGATAGTTGTGATTGATTGAACTGCAGGGTATAGATTAATACCATTCAACGCGGGATAGTAGTATCAGCTTACCGAGGAAGGTTGCACGTGGAGGAACCTTGATGTAGTGTCCAAGTTTCATGTCACCAGTGAAAGTACCCGCAACGATGAGGGTTTGAAGTGAGACAGCTTTAAAGACCATGTTCGCAAGAGGATTTCCAGGAAGCAATACACCAGGGATGATTTGGGCCGGCAAGTTCAACGTAATCTAGTGTACATTCAGCGAGTTGTCGCTCGTCATAAACTAGACAGAAGACTTACGGAATCTCCAGTCATAGCATATAGATATCCAGATGGAATACAATATATGACGGGTAACAATACGGCGAGCCCTAAGGCCCATATCGGGATGGAGGTATGCCAAACCTACAACGATTTAGTAAGCAAACAGAAAAAGAGAATAATCGCCGAAGGATAAGCGTACCTCTACCGCAACAATAGCAAGGGAAAAGAAAACGGCAAAGATAGCCAAATACCACCAATCCGGCACCTCCTTATACGCCTGCATCAACTTCATATGGATATCTGGCGGCTCAATTTGCTTCCTCTGAAGGCCTTTCCACACGCTATGACCATGATACAGAATAGTATGCACCATAGAACAGCTGAACAACGTCAAGGCGAGGACATATGTCACAGCGTACGTAGCAGGCAGGAAGAGTGGCGAATACTCGTCAAAGGCTGTCTGGTTGAACCGGTTGTCAGAAGTGAGGATCCGGGAAACATTGTATTGCTCTCCCATGCGGTCGTAGGGGAAGCTGGCGGCCATGGGGAAGTAGCTGAGGTTCCAGGAATTGCTGTAGTAAAGAGCAGGGGTGACGATCCAGAAGAAGATGGTGAAGCCTTTCGGGACGTTTAGTATTGAGAGAAGATTGGGAATGTTGCACTACATACCAATGAAGACGTGAACTTCTGCCCACCACGGGGTCATGAGAGGGCTACCGATCCACGTGATTTGTGTCTTTGAAGCAATGTCTAAATAACGCCATAACGCAGACAGACACAGATCGAATACTCACCCAATCGAAAGTGATGGTGCTCAAGCCCATGCCTGAATTGAAACCGAATAGTTGGTTCACAAGCACATTATCTATCCCTATCGTCAGAATTTACGCATACCCAACCATGAAATAATACATACTCGGCTTAATCCAGCAGATCCACGAGAAGAAGCCCAGAGCCCTGAACAAGTACCCGGGGAGGAAGTAGAACAGGAACGCGCCACCAGCCACATATGTGAAGAAGCGGTAGCGCGTGATACCACCGGACATGTCATCATCCTCAGCATGTAATGTGTTGAGCAATGTGCAGAGGACCAGGTAGTTGGGCCAGACCATCGATGCGGGGTAGACGAGAAGACGTCTACACATGCCCGCGAGACCCATGCCTGTGAGCTGCGTTGATAGAACCAACAGCAGTTCAAACCTAGCAAATTCGCACGTCAGTCGCGAACCAACTGACATTATTGTATGTGAAAACTCACCATGGACCAAGCCTGATGTTATAAAAGAATGAGCCGACAATAGTAGCATTGAGCGCGTCTAAAAGAAAAGAAAAAAAGGTTTGAGTTTAATAGAAATAAAAATAGGGGATCCCCAAAATACATACAGGGTGGTCCAACGGCGACTTTTTGCTGATGTCAACATACGTGTCAAAGGCTATGTAGATGGGCACTCACTGTTAGACATCATGAAGATGAGGGCATGCTCTTTGATGTTGAAGGGGCCAGGATTGAGGCTGACTTCACAAGGACCCCCTAGACGTTTAGGAAAGGGTATGGAATAGGTACGAATAGGTAGGATATAAGCAGCGAATTTGCCAAAAGGGTATGTAACCAATCTATAAGTAGGGAAATTAATATTTTCAACATGCCAATATGCAAATGCGACTTACAAAATAACCAAAGGTATAATAGAAGGAGCGGGTGACCGGAAATTGAAAACTACATTGAAAGCTGCTGAAAATGTAACGAGAAGAAGGCCCACAAGCCACATTCGGAAAGTCACTATGGAACCCCCAAGATGATCAGTAAAGTTGAAATTGTGCCTGAGGGAAAAGAGAACTCACAGGTAGGCATCTCAGGGTCGTCAACATTACTGACACTGGCGCGTACTTCAGGATAGGGCGAATCCTCGTCAGCCATGGCGTCTAGTTCATACTCCATCCTGCAGGGAGTTGTCAATCATTTTAGCCACAGATCCAAGCGCGAGACCGGAAATCCACGTACTTGACGCTGCCATCGCGAGTGCTCCAGTCTACATCGTCCACTCCGTCTTCAGTGCGGCGAGACCGCCCAGAGTATTCTAAAGTCCCAACATCATTCTGGGATAGTTTCGAGATAGACATGCCGTCCAATTTGATGTTGCCATCTGTGTCTAGCGACTCAATGGTGGATCTGCGTGCGTGGGATTTTCCACCGTTTCTCAAGCGCTTGATAGCACCAATATTTGGATTTGTTTGGGGGCGGATGTCTGAGGAACTTGTGTACACCGAGGCACGTGCGGAGGGTACGCCACCCCACTCGGTTTCGAGCTGATATTGATAGGGATTATCGTATGCGCGGCCAGGCAGGTAGTAGTCATAATAGTTGGACGGGCCAGCTGCTGAGGCGGTTACTGGGGAGGGTAGAGATATGTGTGCTTGCTTGACATTAAGCGTGGACTGGTCGACCGAGTCCAGGGGAGACCGAGGCTGGGTAGTATCCCTATATGGTGGTGTACCACTATTTTGCTGATTGGGGAACTGGGAAATATGACGCATACGGAGCGCATCTGGACCTTGCGGAATGTGATCGTGCGAGGAGTTGGTGTCCGGAGGAGACTCGGGATGCGGCAAAAAATGCCCAGGAGAATGGGGCTGTTGGGCGGGGAATTGGCCTTCCTGCTGACGCTCCCGCTCGAGATCAGCGGTGGTGGGAGGGAGATAAGCAAAGACATCTTCGGCGTCACTCTCTTCCTCCTCGTCCTCCTCGGTGACGCCATCTAAGCTGAGGTCGTCTGCGTAACCATAGTGTGAATAGTGAGCGTGGAGGGCGGCTGGGAGGGGCTGGGGGTTCTCAGCTGTGAAGTGGGGGGAAGAGGAGGAAGAGGCGGTGCCGGGAATGGAGAATGCGTAGTCGTCAGCAGCGGTCGACGGTCGACTGGACTGGGTGGTGGGCGGGCGACGTTGGCGGGGCATGGCTCATCGACGACGGGGCGAAAGAGAGAGGATCAGCCATCCCCAATCATAATATCCTTCGCAGACAGGCACGCACTAGCGCCTCCCCTGGCTCCAGCGACGCCCACAGGCACACACGTGTACCCAAATAGCGTGTGACGAAGACTGCGCACGGGAGACTCTTCACCTCGTTATGGCCATCTGAACCGCCTCCTTTTCTTTCCATTCCCATCCCCATCGTCAGCAGCAATCGTAGTCTGCACTGCCAACAGCGGAGCCTCGAACTCTCGTACTTCTTTCATTCCTAGCTAGAACTGGCATCCCTCTTCCCGCGTCGGACAGCTCCGCTCGCCTCTCCATGGTCGACACTCGTCTCGACAAGTTCATCAGGCCTTCCCCGCCGTGATAACACTGACACTTCACAGCATTCTGCCTCTTTGGCGAGACCGGTGATACCCACATCCATCTACATCCCTGGTGCGCGCAACCCTGCTGTCATCCCCCCAGAATTCGATTGGATCTTCTAAAGAAAGACACGGCCTAACCGAGCAGAAGTGACGACCTGCATCAGCCGCCACATGAATCCCCCCTGACTCACAGATCAGCGGCAGAATCGCCAGAGGAGAAATATCCAAAGCGGGAACAGGAGACCCTACAGATGAAATTG